GGCAGAGGGACGGAGCAGTGTGGTGAGAGTATTTCCTCAAAAACTCATTGCCCAACTTCCCCGTTTCCTAGTAGAAACTAAGCATCCGTATACACTCGAGTGTAAGCCAACCCAAATATCAGCCAATGCACCTAATTTTACCACAAAAACGGAATTTAAAATGTGCTGAAAAACTTGGCTTATACACAAGTTCATATGGGAACTTCCAAGTATCCTACCATAAAGACACTGGAAAACTAGCCATTTCATCTTAAACATGAATGTAACCAGTTGTATCCTCTCAACTGTAACAGATTAAGGAAAAGATTTCTCTCTCTGCAATGCCTTTAGCTCACTGCTTGTGATGCTAAAACAGGCTGGCTTAATACTTGCTCAATAAAACGCTCCCGTCTCATCTGCATTTGTGTTTTCTAGGCTGAGAGTTATATATTTTTTTCTCTTGTAGATTGTTTGGTATTTCACTTAGAACATTTCCATCAATGTTTATATGGAGATTCATTTCTAATTTCCTTTATTGTGCAGTTTTGATCAGATTTAAGCTTATCAGATACAGCTGCATCATAAAGAATCCAAAAAACTTCCTTCATTTTCTCTATTTTGAAGCTTACATAGTGTTGGACATGAGCTGATCTTTAAGATTCAGTAGTTTCCACCCAAGGCCATCTAAGTCAAATGTTTTTCTATTTTGTCTTGCAGGACAAATCTTTGAAACATTTCTCTACAAGAATATGTAAATTTTCCATCTCACTTTGTATTAACTTTAGGAAATTCTATCTCCTAAAAAATCATTCATTTAAACTTCAAATATATTTATGCCAAATTATGCAGTGATCTTATGCTTATTGAATTGAATAACCTGTTTCAGTGGTTATTTCTATATTGTCATTTTTTTTTTAGGGGGGGTCCTTGTGTCTTAAGTTTGGTAAGCCAGTGGACTGTCTGCTTTTTTAACTCTTATCTTTATTAAAATTTCCGGGGAGGGGAGATACTAGAGCTTACGAAATACAACTAAATCGGAGTAGGCGGAAATCCATAGCTTTCAATCCTTTAAGGTAATGTAACAATGGGAATCAGAATATGATAATTAAATGTCCTATTCATCCAAGAAAGTAAACAAAAAAGCCAAAGGACACAAAACCCAGGATTAGCCCTGGAGTCCACATTTTTCAAATGGAGGAATGACAAGAGGAAACTGATGTGCTATGTAAATCTAAACTGGCCCCTGGTTCTCGATGAGTCTAATTTTTCCACCTGGAGCTTCAGAAGTTTAAATAGTAACAACGTATCTGCAGCATGAGTAGCAGCACCTGTGCGACTTCTTCCCCATCAGTAATTAATGCTAAACTGAGCTTTGCCAAAAAAGACTCATACACAGTATTAGTTACAGAAGTTACAGCTAAAGCTAAGATATAATACAGGAAAGTTAACTTGGTTACATTAATCTCAACAGTTAAGTGTAAGATTGTGTGCTTATCAATGTTTATTGTATTGATAAGGAACTTATCTCTGAAACCAGACTACCTTCTTCAATTTCAATATATATTTGACAAACATTAAGAGTTGACTGGGGGAAATATTGATAATAAATGAAAAGAACACATACATAAATGTATATACAATGTGACTTAGTAAACATATACATATCATATTTTATACACCAAAATATTCATATTAGTGAAAACTTATTGAAGGCAAAGTATCCTTTTACTCAATGCAATGTTCCTATCTTATAAAAGAATGACTGGCACAAAGTTGGTGCTCATTAAGTACTTGTGAAAAAAATGGAAGTGGATAATATATGCCTTGGAAAAATGTAGTCAATCAAGTAAGTACAGGAAATTTTAATATGCTTGTATCTGAAACATACGGCCTAAAGACAAGTCAATTAAAGTTATCCAACAGTTGCTTCTTTATTACAAAACTAAATCTTGAGTCAAAAATTCAGCTCTTAAAAAAATATGGTCTCTGAGAATCAAGTATCTCTATAAAATATTAAGACAATTATATGCTGCATCATCATCATCTTATGCTGCATCATCATCATCTACTGCAGCATAAATGGCTTGATTCCTCCTCTTAATTTTCTTTCTTAGTTCAGGTTCGTGTTCATCGCTCAGCCTCTTCAATGGCACCCCAGTCAAGTCCTTCCCACTCCCTGACTCCTCGGGCTCCCCAGGTGTCCCCTCTCTAGCAATTGGGGAACCCAAAGTGTCATCAGATACAATCATAGAACTTGGCAAGATCCTGACATCAGAGAAGCTTGCTGAAAAGTCCGACGTTTGATCAGATGAAGGCTCTACGGATGGGGTATTCATGTCACTTCGTGCACTTGTAATGCTGTCTTCTTCCTCTTCCTCATCTTCTTCACCTAACATTATTTCATCAGGATTGATAGAAGAGAGTGCAGAGGTGTCTGTGTTATATTCACTCGGTTCTCCTGAGTCACTGCTCTCCACGTCCTCCTGCTCTTCAGATTCATCACGCAAATGAGGTTCTTCACTGGCCTTCTGCAGCCTGACATTAATGTCTGTGAGGCCAAGTTGGGCACAAAACTCAGTAGTCTGAGGATTGATCGTATGAACCAGCTGCATTTGGTTCTGGGGTTTGCTGGGGTCATAGCATGCCACTGTTACACTGAAGTTACATGGAACTCTGAGGTCATGATTCAATTTTTCCAATACTTCTTTCATAGTTTCTTCTGTTGCACTGTAATCCCACCTATAAAAGTGCAAAATAATACCTTTTAACATTTTATCAGTTTTAGACAAATGAAGAAATCCTAACTATGAACTTGAGGTGCAAGAATATTAAAATTCCATTTAGGAAAATTAATTTCATCATTACATTAATTACCCATTTGAAATAAAAACAACTTTTAAATAAGGCAATCCTTAACTCACATCCTAAAGCAAACATAATTATGTTACTGTAGGAACCAAATCTCCACCATATGCTGAATATTTATTCACACATATGCCGAATTACACTGGTGCACAACGCTTATTTTTTTTCTTGTCGCCTTTGATGAAAACGTGTAGCTTTCATAAACCTTGAATTGCTCTGACATCCACTCAACAATTCCCTTATTTTTGATGGGAAAATGTGGGAACAGAAAGAGGACAACTGAACAATACAGGGAACGTGAGTGACGGCGACTGAACTGTGCACGTGCAGATGCTCAATGAACGTCCTGCTACCTATAGGACTGCCACGAGCACGGCAAAGGGGAGCGGAAAGGAGGGCGACAACTGAATGGGGAGTGCAGCTTCTAAATAAGGTCACGCTTACCTTGTGTGCAGTCCATTATTTTCTGGCATATTCCACAAGCGCTCCGTCACATTAATAAGATCATTAGTAGCCTGGAGAATGGTGAGCCATTCAATATCATACTCCAAGTAATCAGGAGCCCTGGGGTCATGTTCTATTTCTATTACCTAGAGGAAATACATATATGCCATCTTACTATCCTAAAACATAATTTAGCTTAATTAAAAGAGAAAAACTACTCTACTACAAAAGCATTCCACTATTTCTTACCTGAAGAAAGTCTCTATGCGGTAAGCATTTGTCCAAGGCTAAAAATCTTGTTGCTTTGGCTGGTTTTTCTTTGTCCTCAGCCTACATAATATGAACAGTAAGAAAGATGATAGTTCAACCATCACGAGTAACTCCCACACTGGCCCTAAGGGAAATCATTTTATTAGGCGTATGCCTAGAGTATGTGTCAAAGAGTGCTACTTCCCAAAGACTAGTCTCTTCTATGCTCGTGTGCAATCATGGGCTTGCACAGATCCCTCGGCTTCAACTTCTCTGCAAAAGCCACAGCCAAAACGAATGATGCTGCTGCTGAACATCGTTTTGAGGAACACAATGATAAAGCATATAGCACAGAGGTTAAAGAAGAGAGGGCAGGGACCTTAAAAGCACTAACGGTAATGCTAAAACCATTAAAAAAATTTGGATACAAAATTTATAACCTTGAGTTAGGCAATGATTCTTGTAGATACAATACCAAAAGTACAATGTGATCAACTCAGAGAATGCAGTCATGCTACACAACAGAACAGAACAAGATGCTCATACAGTCTACAACATGAATGAACCAGAGAGGCACACAAATCAAAGAAGCCTGACACAAAAGACCAGATACTCACATTGTGGATGTCATGTACATAATGGGCACAGGCCCAAAAGCTACACAAACAGAAGGCCTACCCCACTGGAGATCCCCTTGCAGAGGGGTCTTAGGGAGGAGACGAGCCAGTCAGGGTGCGATGTAGCAATGATGAAAAATACAACTTTCCTCTAGTTCCTAAATGCTTCCTCCCCGCTCCCACTATCATGATTCTGCCTGCAAGTCTGGCTAGACCAGCGGATGTACACTGGTACAGATAGGAACTGGAAACACAGGGAATCCAGGGTGGATGATCCCTTCAGGACCAGTGGTGTGAGTGGCGATACTGGGAGGGTAGAGGGAAAGTGGGTTGGAAAGAGGGAACCGATTATAAGGAACTATATGTGACCTCCTCCCTGGGGGATGGACAACAGAAAAGTGGGTGAAGGGAGACGTTGGACAGGGCAAGATATGACAAAATAATAATTTATAAATTATCAAGGGCTCATGAGGGAGGGGGGAGAGGGTAGGGAGGGGAAAAAATGAGGACCTAATGCCGGGGGCTTAAGTGGAAAGGAAATGTTTTGAGAATGATGAGGGCAATGAATGTACAAATGTGCTTTACACAATTGATGTATGTATGGATTGTGATAAGAGTTGTATGAGCCCCTAATGAAACGATTTTAAAAACTGAAAAAAAAAAAAAAAAGAAACAGAAGGCCTATCAGTGGTTGCCTGGAGAGGAAGACTGACTGCAAGCAGCCACTAGAGATCTTTTGAAGGCGATGGAAATGTTCTAAAACTGAGTTGTGATGCCAAAAATCATTGACTTATATGCTTAAAATGAGTAATTTTGTGGTATGTAAACGATAATAAAGTTCTTCAAAAACTGAACCAGGTAAGAGAAACACAGTGGGAAGGAGGGGAGGGGAGGGTCAGGAAAATGAAAGTCACGTTAGACGCAGCATGACAGAGTTTCCCTGAAAAACAGCAAAGCACAGGAGGTCAAAAGGGAAGGGAGCTACAGAAGTCCTACTGAGAATCAGGCAGCTAGAAACAGGTGAGACGAGGAAAGATAGAGCACAGATTACAGCAAGAGAACACTGCTAGGAAAAGGTGGTCTTTCTTTTGACAAAGGCACACAAAGAGAAGGCTGGCAAAGTCGGGGGAGGTTGAGGAAACTGGAAATTCGCTCTGTCTCTTCATGTCTGCCCATACAACAGACCCACCACTGGATTGGCTACTCCCACAGCATCAGCGTAGCTCTGCTCCCTCACAAACGTAATGCCCTGTTCTGTATTTGCCTGCCCTTCCAAATAAGAACCTACTCTTAGAAGGAAAGTGGTCTTTTCGGTCTTTAACTTTGTAAGTGTCAAGAGTACCTAGAATGTATGTACGACTTTCAGTGTGCTTCAATGAACTAATAAAGTGCTGTTGTCTACCTGATGCTGCATCAAGGCCGCAAACTTCACGTGAAGGTGCGCAGAAAACCAGTAAGTAGGCTTTAAGTGCTCTAAAAGCTCCGAGGCTGCAGGACTGCCTAATGTGTTGTTTTCCACTTCTTGTCGGAAAAAAGACTTTGTCTTAAGAAGTTGCTTCTTGTTTCCATAATGATAAATACTTCTTGGCCAATCATGGGATAAGAAAACATCCATTGGTTGCTTCAGCTTAAAGAAGAGAAATAGGGAACGCAAGCTTTTCAAAATAGAGCAAAAGAAACCCCTCTTTCTCTCACCCACTCCTCCATGGCACCTCCCCCACCTACACTGCATTGACCCAGGTCTCAGGATAATCCCATTCTGAGGCCACTTCAGACCGTCGGGAAATACCACACTACTCAGCCCTCTAGACCAGCGGTTCTCAACCTGGGGCTCACGACCCCTTTGGGGGTTGAACTACCCTTTCACAGGGGTCGCCCGATTCATAACAGTAGCAAAATGACAGTTATGAAGTAGCAAGAAAATAATTTTGTGGTTGGGGTCACCACCACATGAGGAACTGTATTAAAGGGCCGCGACACTAGGAAGGTTGAGAACCACTGCTCTAGACAAAGATATCAACTTTCTCTTGGTCTTAAAAAAAAAAATCATTCTGGGGGAGGGAGGGAGAAGAAGGGGGAAGAAATGGGGAGCTGATATCAGGGGCTCAGTGGGCAGAGAATGCTTTGACAATGAAGATGGCAGGATAGGTGCCAAGGTGCTTGACACCCTGGATGGATGCCTGGATTGTGATGAGAGGTAAGAGCCCCCAATAAAAGTCTTAAAAAACAAACAAAATCATTCTTCTTTTCGGAGGCAGGGTAGGACAACAGACAAGGTAGGACATTAGTTCTGGTCTTCAGTACAGGGTTTCTAAAGTATTCTACAGGAATAAAGTACCTTCACATTCTTTCCCCATAGTCTCTAGCTTTGTTACTACTTTAGTTGTATTTGTTAAACAGTTAAGTTCGCTTTCAATGGCAGATTCTGTCTTATATGGGTTCTAGGTTTCCTAAGTTTTATTATATACTCTTTAGCTTTACACTACATAATAACAGCTGAAGTCCGGAATTAAAAGTTGTATTTATTACTCACTAACACAAATCTATAACCATTTTTAAAAGCCACTTGTAAACCTCCTACCAACATCATACCACCAAAACATTTAAATACTGAATTAAGCTCTTCCTAGTAGCCTATCAAAATGAACAAAATACATTTGTCTATGGAGTTATTTTTTAATTATTTCAAAGCTATTGCAATATATCTGTGCATACCTGTTTTAGTTTATAGACTTCAATATTTCTCACATGATAGATGCTTCTTACTGTAGATGAAGTATATGGTGGATACTCAAAATGACCTTAAAAGAAGAGGAATCAAATATAGTCAATTCCCTTAAGTACTGTAAATACAATTATGTATACACTTCTCCCAAAGTGACATTTATCATCAATTTTCAGTTCTTAAAATTCTTCTTTAAACAAAAAACAAATCCACTGCTCTTAATATACTAGGATTTAGTCACAACTATACATCTAAATAAATAATTGAGGTGCTGATGGCTTTTAAAACGGAATTTTATTTCATTTTGGAGCGGATGATATATTCCCAAAGTTTAAAGTGCTAAAGATACCATAAGAAAGGCAGCGCAGAAAGAGGTATTCCTCTTAGACATTGAGTGCTTGCCTAAGGCTAGTGTAGGAACAGAAATTAAAATTAACTTTCTGGGGTAAAGGAATTGTTCTAAATCAGGATAGTGATGATTGCATAGCTCTATATATTTAATTTGATATTTACAATAGCACATAAAAATTTTACTTGACTAAAGCTGCTTTAAAAAAAAAAAA